TGCGAACTTTATAATTGACAATTTTTGTACCTATGACATTGAAATCTGTTATTAGCAGTTTTCATCGTTACGAAAAATATTTGCCGTTCTAATTATGATAGGTGCGCTTGTTGTGACTTTATTATTAAGCGATTTAAAATTAACTTGCGTAGTAATCGGCGCGCCGGCCGAGACTGCAGTTAGATAACCTCGCGTTATCTTTTGTTGTTTCACTTAACTGCGGCGCGACTACGGGGCCTTTGAGGACCCGATAACACCATTAACGTGTATAAGCGGATTATTATTATAATGAAAACAAATTAATCCTACGTACGTAGTTGAATATTTTTTAAAGTTTATCGAGGCTTTTAGTAGCTTTAGTTAACAAAAGCCTTATTAATATTACACAGGTTACATAGGTTACAATATTTTTGTTAGATTGTATTTATATCTTTAAAAATCTTCGTTGAATTTCAATTGCTAAAATTACTCAAGTTTTCGGTGATACTTATATTTGAAAAATAGTACCTTTCCTCGGTATTTTTTTTGAAATTATATTTAGATACAAATTACGTACTGATGAAACATGAATAATATTTTTTGATCTTATTTACATAATAGAAAAAACTGAACTGGTTATTTGATTAAAAAATCATGAGTGCTATTAGTTTAATTTAAATTTTCGTATTTAAAAAAATACAAAAGGAGGGCTCAAAATAATAGATTTTCTCACAAAAGAAGGGAACTTGAATAAAGAAGAAAAAAAGTCAGACCAGAGACAGGATGCGAACCAGGGCACTCCGATTTCGCGACCGCCGATATCCCACTTGAGCATTACGGATGTTAACACACTGTCAAAATTTACCTTTTTATATTGAAACAGTTTTTCATTGCCTGAAAACACGGAAAAAGGGACATTTTCTAAAAATGAATCTTAGCTGGATCGATTTATTGCCCCCGAAACCCCCTGGACACAAAATTTTATGAAAATCGTTGGAGCCGTTTCCGAGATTACGTTTCGATATATATACACAATATGTAACGTAATTAACGCACACCCTCAGACACCCCAATTAGTATATTATGTTATAATCATAATACATACACTGAATTTTTAGTTAAACATTTTTATGCACTGATTATTTATCAAATTAGTTATACTAATTCCGGAAGAATGTTGTGGTCACAGTACACATCCACGAACGGAAAGACTTTAACGTGCTTGAAATAAAGTTCATTTTTCTTTATACATTTCAGTTTGTTTTGACTGTACAGATTTAGTGTGACTGTAATTAACGTAGTTTTAATTATTTTTGGGATAAAAAATTACCTATATTAAAAATGTCAGGAATCGATTCAGTAAACGAATCTGAACAAACTACTTCCTCAAAGTGCGTTAATTATGTTACATGTTGTATATATATACAAGAATTGCTCGTTTAAAGGTACAGGAGTATAGACATTTGAAATTAATATATAGGTATCAGTTTACTATGTGTATAATGTACTTAATAGTTTAATGAATCATCTTATCAATAACTATTTAAAAAATAGTGTTTTAAATGACAACTATATTCTTATACGTGGTAGAGCCACGCTGCAGTTATATTATAGTTGTAGCACGAATGCTTTAACAAAATGCCAGCGTATAATAGCTGCGTAATGCTGCTGTGTTTCGTATGGTGAGTGTAGAGAACCGGGGACCCTTTTTTACTTTAATTGAGGCATTCCGTCGTAGTCCTCATAGGTGACGACGCATTTACATTTTGATTCTTAATTAAGGATAAATGTGGATGTCTATGAGCCATAGCATCCACTTACCATCAGGTGGACTGTGCTCGTTTGTCACCCAATGCTATAAAAAAGAGAAGGTTAAGAAAACTTACAGGACGTCAATGGATGCCTGTGACTCAGGAGCGTGAATTATTCTGAACCTTTGAGGGAAACCTATGTTCAGCTGTGTACTATGAAAAATTTTTTCATCTTACTACATACACTAGAATTTAGACTTGATGTCTCAGATTTTCACGATTTTTTATGTATTGTTATGTGTTGCTTGTTTCATTCAATGAACTATTCTATTTTTTTTGAAACAATATTAATTCTGATATTTTTGACAAAACGTTTATTTCTGAAGTCCTGTATCTCTTGATTCCATTGCGATCCCGTGATAGAATTTTGCTGTACGCATTTAGGCATAAACTAGATTTTGATTAAAACTACTTTTACGGATTTTATCGCGTTTAATTTTACTTTTAATTATTTTTAGTTTTAATTCCCGACGTTTCGGATGCTTTCCAGCACCCATGGTCACGGGGGACTAAGGTGACTGACGTCCCGTTGTCATTGTTAAACCCGGAGTACCTTCGACCCGTACCCGAAGGTACTCCGGGTTTAAAAATAAAAATAATTAAAAGTAAAATTAAATGCGATAAAATCCGTAAAAGTAGTTTTAATCAATGTGTAGTGTTCGCGTAAATATAAGAAATCATTATATAAACTAGATTTATAAATTTTTTGAAATTGTCACTCTATACATGCTATAGACAATTAATATAATGTCTGGTATTAGAAATACAAATGTAATACCTAGATAAATGAAATTATGAATAAATCATGACTTAATAATCACGTACTTAATCATGAAATTCATCGATATGCAACAAAAATATCGTCGCAGTAGTATCGTGGTGTAACTTGGGATATCATGATCGTTTCATCTTTGGCTCACTTTGATGTATTACCTAAGTTATTAAGAACTAAGTGTTAAAATAAATATAATTTATTTATTAACGCGAAATTATTAGGTACCATTACGTAGTAATACACATATGTAATTTATTCTACATTTAATAATTTTCTTTATTAATGAGCTCATTTTATTCTAATAAAACTATTATCATATATTGTATGTTCGCGACGGCCTAACAACGTTAAGAAACAAAGTTATAAAGAATATTGTTTTTTGTATTAATAATGAAATTACTGACAAAACGTTGAAAACGTGTATTAATATAGTTGTTTAGCATGTTTATGACTCTCAGTATATTTGTATAGAATGTCGTTTTGATAACAAGTAATGTAAACAACTTTTATTATATTAAGAAAAATCGACCAATCACAGCGCGTCTAATCGTAGAACTCTCTAGAAGTTTTTTAATTAACTGCGTAATAGTTCATACCAAAAATAATGAAAATAATTTTATGTTCTAAAAGAGTTATAAATATGACATTGAATTAGCATATGGCTTATAGATTAAAGAAGTGTAGGAATATTTTGTATAATTAAACGCATTTGATAGTTATATAAAAATTAAAGAATTAATGTACCCAAATATTATGAAAATTTGGGTCATTTCGTTTAATAACTTTTTACAATGTTAATGTTTTGAGTAACCTTTATGATATACTAATAAAGTACCAGACTACCGATTTAATGATGTATAGCATGTTAGTGTAGTAATTAGTTTTGTATAGAAAATATCGTAATTTATGCCATTTGTATAGTGAAAAGTTTATGCAATAAAGAGGCAAAACGGAAAATGGCAAGCGGCTCACTGTAAAGTATTGCTAAAGTCTACCTTAGGGACTATAGCCATCATCCTCTCTCTGGCTCGTGACCCAGTAGGAGTAGTAGTGTGAAGAACTACCAGTGACAAGTGAAGTGAAGTGAGTGGTATCCGGTGGTAGCTGAAGTGACTAGTTGCAGTATATAGTGAATAGTGATAGTGTTAGCTAGCCGAAAAAGGTCGTAACTGATATTCGCAGTTACATATAGTGAAAGTGTTAGCTAGCCTAAAAAGGTCGTAACTGATATTCGCAGTTACATATAGTGAAAGTGTTAGCTAGCCGAAAAAGGTCGTAACTGATATTCGCAGTTACATATAGTGAAAGTGTTAGCTAGCCGAAAAAGGTCGTAGCTGATATTCGCAGTTACATATAGTCAAAGTGGTAACTGATATCCGCAGTTACACAAGTGATAAAATCAGCTAGTTTAGTTGATAATAGCTGCTAGTCAGTAGTGTTAGAAAACCAGCTACTACTAATAGATATTAGATACCACCGTACAATTTAAAGAAATCTTATGAAATATACAGTGACAAACAAATAGTGAACAACCGTAGTTCAACCGTGGTCAATAGTTATAAAATTTCGCGACTAATTAATCATTCGAACCGCTGGCCACTACCTTGCTATTTGTATTTATTAATCGTGCATTTTGATTTGAACCTCAGTCCACAATATTTCAGCGGCAACCACAAAGACGGCAGTGAAAGTACCCACCGGAACCTATAGGTGTAGGACGTGAGCGACTCGCGAAGTATCTTCGACAACATTTACTCCGGAGAGTTTCGCCCGTCCGGCACATTGTATTTAAAAAAAATATCTTAAAATCGCTCATCCTTAGCATCCGAAACGAAAGTGTACTGCTGGCGATCATCCAGCGCTTTGCGTGTGTTTTCGCTATGATTTGTCAATTATTTTAGTATTTCTGATACGACGCTGTGTTTACACGACATTGTCAATGTAATCAACTGATTCTTTTAATACAAACAACCAATTAGGTAATGCGACCTAATTAGAATATAACGTGACCTCAACACCGATACACGACAATACATCAACTCTGCCAAGTTTATCTGCAAATTACTCTACATCTGTTCATGCAACAACGGATAATATTTTAATTAGTTTTTTAATATTCACTTTTGAAAAGTTTAGTGAAACAAAAATAATTAATTACGTGTACGGGCCTGAAGGACCAAAGCGGTGATCATACGGTCGAATAAACAATGGAAGTGTGACAGCGCCGGGGCGCTATCGCATTTTCCGGAGATTGGCGGCTTTCGGTCGGCACTCGGCAGTGCCGCAGGCGCGCGCGCACAGAAAGCATGTGCGATGCGATCGAGCCGCCATGTACATAGAACCGGCCGCGTTTCGCGCCCCCAGCGAAGAATCGCTCGCTAATAACGAACCCACGCCGATCTGGACGCAGTGCTTACCCAACCCCTTATTCGCAGGCAAGAAGGCGCCCCTCAAGACCTTCGAGGAAGTCCAGCCGTTACTCCAGCAAGGCCGCAAGCGCGAGCTCAAGCTACTCATCAGAGAAAACTCTTGGCCAATCAACAGTCCCGTGCGCGCTTCACTCTGGCCCGCGCTGTGCCGTCAACATCAACATGGCAAGTCTATGCTCGACGGATTCTACTGGGATATGGTTACACAGGTCAGTGATCTTTCGTTGCACAATTACTTATTTTTTTTACGAATATCATCAGCGCGATAACAGTAAGCAGCTTATCTAGCGAAAACGTGTAACAATTTCCGTCAAGGTCGTGTGTATTTACTTTACTCCTCACCGCCGAAATGTTTGTGAGATATCGCGCCCCCTGATAAGGTGACGTTCGGACCAAGGTTGATGGATCTAGAATTAAATTTTCATTCAGGTAACCTAGAAACGATACCTAATACGATCCCACGAGATCAAAGTGTCGTTATACTGCAAGCGATTTTAGCTCTTATTCAAGTTAACATGCCTCAGGGTTCAGCTGAAATCCTCTGCCCGATTCGTTTAGCGGTGTCTCCATTGTCAACTTTGTAACCGCGTACGTGACCGACAGTTTAAGAAGAAATTACACCATGCAAGTTCATATTGTCATGTGATCTCCGAAAATGTTTTCTATCGCTTAATTGTCGACGATATTAATTTAGTTTCACACTATGGCGTAAGAAACTCGGCGTAAATAAGGTAGAGATAAGAGATACCTGCGTTCTAGTGCAAATGAATCATCAAATGTCTCAACTATGAATGAATTACATCCCTTTGTGCTCTCATCGTACAGTTTTTTTAGTGTTTTCATGCGTCATAGTTTTTCAATTAGAATTATAGAATGTTTTTTTTAAATCGCGCAATTGAGATATTTGAATAACTCATCTTAAAAATAAGATTGAAAAAATAAAAAAAAGTTTATCGTGCTTTTGTTTATATTTTGAATAAAAATGACACATAAACGGCCTCTAATTACGTAACGCGCCGCCGCCGGCGAGTCCTTATGTACGACATCAACGGGTGCACATCCTCGGTTGGAGCGATTTTAGCATAGTAAACACTAATGTCCACGTGTAACCCTGCGCATCTAAGCTTAGATGTTTGATTTTCGTCTATAATACAGTTATTCATAAAAAAGGAGGCATTTTCAGTAACGGATCGTTTTTTTTTTAATTTTTACTTTAGCCTTAGTTCTAAGAATAAGTTGTTTTGATTTAAAATTACAATTTAACAGATTTTTTAAATTTATTTTAGTTCAGTGATTTTGAGTTCATAGTCACTCTAGAGGAGATCTCGGGAACCTCAACCTCATGTTCAACTGTGGAATTTTGAAAGGTCGTAAATTAATTCATGGATGAAAAAAATATTAATATAATTATTATAGCAGTAACTGCTTTACTCGGTTTATTTTATCAGATGCTGCAGCTGGTCAAACTCCCTACAAATACGTCATCCCTGTGATCCCCGAGGGGTAGGCAGAGTGCAAAGACCAGCAAGCCACTCGCATCACATTTTGCCTAAAAATATGCTTATAGATTGAAAATTGTAATAATTACCCATCCTACTTAACTATACGAAGGTGTCCGATAGTAAAACAGCCAGTTCTTTTACCTTTTAACAAAAATATTTACTTTGTTTTTGGGAAAAATTCAGTTAAATGTTCTTCGTCTTTTGAAGTTTTGTTTTCAAAATTAAATGTCATTAAATTGCATGTTCGGCATAAAACAAAGGGACAAAAAAGTCTCGCCTCGAGAAAATGAACATTTTAATTAAAGGCACGTGTATATTGCTGTCTGTGTTTTTGTAAATTAACAACTTTCTATAAAAATTGGTAACTTTTTAAAGAAAAAGAGAGAAGTGAGAGTTTTTTTTAAGTACACACTATGGTAAGTGAATGCTATGGCCATAAGCATAACATATATCCTTAATTAATTATCAAAATGTAGATGTACTGTCTCCCCTGAGGACTATGACTAACGGAAGATAATTGTCACCGTGTCACAGTCTATGACTTGTTATTAATAAGTAAGTTGTTTAGATGTAATTAAGTTTTTTTCATTCATTACATCTGATGAGTCCTCCAAATGTTACAGCACTACATGTGTGTTACATTACATTCCGCTGTCGCTACTAAATATTATATTATTACCATTACTTAAATGTCTTGTAAGTAATGGTAATGATATCTAAACACAAAAAAAATATCCCTGATTTTAATTTCTATGTAATGTTGAACTAGGAAGAGGTTAATAATTTCTTATATTTACTTGAATACTACAGCTTCCTAAGTCGGTGCTTAGATTATACCTAGTTTAAATTCTTAGTTTATAAAGTCGATTCATACTCTTACTAAAAATTTTCGCTGATATTTTTTTTAAAGATTTTAACTAAAAATTAATTAAACGCGATAAAATCCGTAAAAGTAGTTTTATTCAATGTGTAGTGTTTGCGTGAATATAGGAAATCATTGAACAACTACATAATTATAATTGTGAATATTGAGTGGTACACCACCACTTGAAATAATATCGACTGCCCAGCCAACAACAAGGAATCCAATTAGATGACGAGCAGCAGCGTCTTTCTGATTACTACTCAAAATAATAAAAAAATGCGGTTGGCAACCCGCTTGCCAAGCGTTATAACTATTGAAAATATTCCTCCTGTGAGCTATCTATAATGTAGAATTCAGTACACGTCCCGTCGTGTTTTTAAAATTTATTAATCGTTGCAACTGTAATGGAATTTTCTCGCTTTAAGGCGGGCGTCCTTCACAGTACACGCTGTGTTAATATTTGCTTAAATCGACCTGTCGCCGGTTAATTTCTTGATATTGTTTGATGCATTATTAAATATTGTATGCTGGAAGATAGTTATATCGAAATCAGTTTTTATTTGAATTGTCCAAAAGTTGAGTGTTTTGGGTTTGCATCCAATGTCAATTAGGTGTAATCATAACAGTACTGCCACAAGGGTGTATTTTTTCATAATTGCCTAGCTTGCCATAGTTGACAGTCAGTTTTACAACCGCAGTTTTTTTTATTTATTTTGGGTTATTATCAGGAAGATACTGCCGCCCATAACCTTTTTCAGTTTTCTTTTGTCGTCTATGACAACACTCGCGGGATATTACGGCGTAGTGCGTAGCGTATACATTTCATCATTCATTTATTAATAAAAGCTAATTAAAAGTCCAATGCTTAATGATTTCATATATTTACGCGAACACTACACGTTGATTAAAACTAGTTTTACGGATTATGGATATACATGGGTGCTGGAAAGCACCCATGGTCACGGGGGACTGAGGTGACTAACATCCCGATGTCAATGTTAATCCGGAGTACCTTCAGATTTTTAATTATTGTTTTTGTTCCAATCTACACGGAATGAACTTACTGTGTTTTGAAGTCTTGCAGTGGTATGCATGGGTTTAGTTTTAATTTTATTAATAATAGGGTCCCATGCAGGTGGTAGAACCCAGCCTCCTTCTCTATTGAAATAAGGATATTTTTTAATTTCAATAGACACCCGTATCATCCTTGGTAGGAATCGATGTTCTTTCGCGAGGATTTGCGCTCTATCAAATCTGATGTAATCTTTGGGGCCGTATAGGTTGTGATCACAAACTGCAGACTTGCCGGAACGTTGATGCTTCACGTCAGATATGTGTTCTTTTACGCGGGTCCAATATAAATAATAATCAATATCCAATGCTTGATATACGCTTTCGATATGGATAGCTTAATATGGACTTAATAAAGAGTTTAAAGGGGAATATTTGCCAAAGCTGCCACGCTTGGCAGGCGCATTTGCAACGGCAGATTTTTAATATTTTGGGTTGTTATCAGGAAGATGATACAATTTATCTCCTGTTTCGTTGATCTGTGTTCAACTGGTAAATTTTTCAGTTCTGTTTGCTTCAAAGCCGATAAGAATAACACTTCGCTATCTTCAAACTGACTTGAGTAGTTCGTAACGTTTAGCTCTTGAGTGCTTGCATGATGCGATGAAATCTATCGTTGCCAATGATTGTATTTTGAAGCGTGTTTTCGCCGCCGAGTGCATTTTGTACTTTAATATTACTGCGTGCGCGATTGGCACGGTGTCAACGGTGCAGCCCGATCACCTTCGCTTGCGCACGTGATCACTACACTACGAACTTATATATGTGGAGCACATATTATGTAGAAATGTTAAATGAAAGTTGTGTTAACAATAACACGTCTAGCTAACTTAACAACTTATTAAATAGAATTTAATATAATATTAATTATCATCATCATTACAGCCCTACACAAGTCCAGTGCTGAACATAGGCCTTCCTCAAGGAATGCCATAAAGCACGGTCCTGAGCCACCTGTATCAGTCGACTTCCTGCATGTCTTACCAGGTCGTCACAAAATCAAGCGGGGGGGTGCCCTACACTTCGTCTACCGGTACGACGCTGCTACTTGAGAATCTTTCTTCCACACCGTTTTTTTTTAAAGGATAAGGGTGACAACTCTTAATCTCATGGATGTTAGACGGGAGATGAAGCTGCAGTCGTCAGCATATTTGACAGCATACAGGCAACTGAACAGACAGATCTCCAAATGCATGCGACAGGACTTACGCAACTTCAATACAGCTCGTATTGAAGAAGCGATTGAGCGGAACCAGGGCCCCAAAGCCTTTGCCAGAGATCTGTCTGCCAGAAAGAGCCAACTGTCAAAGCCGAAGACTGAGTGTGGCGGCATCGTTTCTGGGACACCTGAGATTTTGAGTGAAATTAAGAGGTTCTATGGGCAGCTGTACACATCATTGTTGGAGCCACACGCAAGTGTGAGTATCAATCCAAGAGCAAGCCTTATCCGATACTATTCTGATGATATCCCGGACGTCAGTCTGAGCGAGATTAGAATGGCACCTTAAAAACGGCAGGGCCCCGGGCGAGGATGGAATTACAGCGGAGCTTCTGAAAGGAGGTGGAAAACCGGTACTTGAAGTCCTTCAGAAGCTCTTTAATTCTGTCCTCCATGGTGGCACTACTCCCGAGGCGTGGAGCAGAAGTGCGGTGGTCTTTCCACTTCAGCTCACTAATCCGGTGTGCTATGTCGGTTACTCTGTGGTTCTACGGCGGCTATACTCATTTTTAAGATTATCACCCAGAGAAACCTCGAGAATAGCCTTCTCCATACTCGTTGAGCGAACTGAGCTTCCTCATACAGCCCGCAGTGGAGTTGAGACGTGGTCCTTACGCTCAAATCCATAAGTAATCACTGGCCAACATGCGCTGGTTGCACAATCTTGTTTTTAAGTAAAATAAATATATTAGATTGATACAAAATGAAGATGCGTTGTCACAGATCCCGGTCGAGCCAACCCATTCGTACTGCAACCAGCCACCGTTGTTCTAATACGTAAACATCTCATCTTTCTTATTGTGTTACTTGTTACTTGTATAAGCTCTTTGGTGTAGAAATTGGTCAAATGCATCTGCCGCTTCTAAAAGGGATTAATCGAGCATAGATACTCTACGATGGGGCTTCCTATGTCCTAATTTAGATCGATAATAGATTTCGCTTTGAAAATGTCTTCAAGTTAAGGATGGGTTTTGGGATAGTAACGTCTCCATGCGATCCATCAGCATATGTAGAGTTTGCAGATTCATACAACAAAAAAAATTACAATAAATTTAAAAACAAGTACATGCTCTACGTGAAGCTTACTAATTTAGTTTACTATATTGAAAACAATGTTTACAGAAATATAGCCAGCGAGCCAGGGTACAAAAAGATGTTCCACATTGGATACGGTTGGAATTATACCAAATGCTTTGTTATTCTCGTCCCACTTGGCGGAGTTATCGTTTGTATTTATTGTTGAGCTTCGAATGTATGGAGCTAAAATTTGACATTGCTTCAAAACTTGTAAACAAGTGTTTTCAATAAAATTTTTACTTTACAATATAACCTAAATAGTTTATTACAATTACGTTTGTAAACCTAAGTTAGGATTCGATTCGTAAGTTGCTCTTCCGGTAGCTTAGTATTTTTCAGGTATTTTTCATTATACTACTAGTGCTAAAATACGGCATAATTAAATGCTGAAATAATACTAGTTTTTTACGGAATTTATCGCGTATATTTAACTTTTTAAATACCCGACGTTTCGAACGCTTTACAGCACTCATGGTCACGGGCAGGACTGAGATGTTCAACGTCCATATGTCATAGTTAACCGCGGTTACCATAGATTAAAATTTAACTTTTGTTCCGATCTATGCAATATGAACTTATGGTATCTTGAAGTCTTGCAGTTGTATGCTTGGGTTGGGATTTAATTTTATT